TGTTATGTTATGTTATGTTATGTTATGTTATGTTATGTTATGTTATGGAAATACCATTCACGCATCATCACAAAATCTCCAGAACCGTAAAGCCTACAAACTTGAAATTTGGCATGTATGTTCCTCTTGACTTCTAGGTGCTCACTAAGAAAGGATTTTTCAAATGACCATCAGAGCATTAGTATTTCCTATATTATTATTATTAACAAGCTGTGATGCTGAGTTCTACTCGCCCTCTCCACCTGAAAAGAAATCTATTCCAAATGCAAAACACAAGCAGAAGAGAGGAGTTTCAGTTTAATTTCACAGCACAAGCAGCTTTAGTACAGAACAATTGAGCTAAGCTACACCTAGGCTCTTTGCTGTCTCTTTCTTGCTCACACAGCAAATACTGTTTCAGTTTCCAAACAGCCCTCAACTCTCTCACACCCTGACAGGATGCTAGCCAGATGAATACCGATGGATGCTGGTAGGCAGAGGCAGAATTTTTTCCCCTTATTTTCCTCCCCAAAAACTAAGCCCGACCATATAGCATACGCGCCTGCCTACCTTCCATTTCATACAGGGACTAGCAATATATATTAACATTTCACCTAGATTAGTAAAACACAATAAAATATAAATGTTAAAAAGATCTAAGTTCAAATATCAATATCTAGGCCATCTAATCATTGAAGCACAGCATCATTTATATTTTAAAAAATCAGATACTGGACCGGTATATGCTCCCTTGCTTACAGCCGGTCATGATGTGATCTACAGTTTGATGTGGGACCCTGCAGTCATACTGAGGGAAGAATACTATGTTCCATTTATACAGAGAATCCTGACAGAAGCCATATGAGGTGCTAATTCTATTCAGAATTGTCCATTGCTGATGTGGTAGTTCAAAGCCTGGCACCTTTTTTGTAGGATTATTTATATATCTTCCTATGCCTATATTTCCAATACATTTCCCTCTTAATTTACTGGTTTCAAATTCTGTCTGTGCCAGTCTCAGGGCCAATAATTCATACCTAAATCAATGTAGTTTCAAACGGCGTAGTTTTAAGAACAAAAAATAACAGGTGTTCCACAAAATAAAATATAAGTTTAAAAAATAAAAATAATACTTATGCTATCATGGCATCAATCTTTTATCTTTTCATTTAATAGAGTAGACCCTACATATACCCACTTCTAATATCTTCTCTGCAGGAAGCATGTTATGCACAATGTATCCAATCAGTTACAGCATGTAACTGGCATTAATGAATCTCAGTTCCAGACTCTAGAAAGAAGGTTAATCTCTATTGGTAGAGTTTAATAACCAAACAAATCAAAACTTCAAAAGCTCATGGTATAAAAGTACAGTGTTATGAATTAATCTGGGAGCCTTGTACTCAATCTCAGAGTAGTATGCCTATCCAGGAGTCAGGAATAATGGAGGAGAAGGCACAAAATAATAACACAGAAGGCATTACAACTGGGCCAAAGTCATTTAATGCTTTAATAGTAAAAGCAAAGAGACCAAAATACAGTCCAGGATATGTTTCCTGAAGCAACCTTTTCCAAAGAGTATTTGCCAATGGAGAAGTGCAGTTTTCATTTGGAATTATAGTAGCTGTGTCTAGTTTTGACTGAGTCAGAGGAACATTGGATTAACTTTCTCTTGCTTCCTTTCATTGACTTTCAGTATAATCCAAAAGTATAACCCAAACCCTTATGATAATAATTTTTAATAGAACTACAGCTAAACCTTCTTTTTTGGATACTTCTATTAAAATAATTCTTTTTTGTAGAGTAAAAAAAAATGCTTGTGTCCTTTTGTGTGTGTGTGTGTTTTGTTTTAGGAGCATATGATTCTTTGCAGATTTGCTGATCAGACAGCTGTCCAGCTGCCCCCTGAACGCAGGCAAATAGGTATGCTTTTCTGTAGAACAGCTGTTGTGGAGTTTATATGCACTATATTTGGTGATATGATTAGCTTGCTGTTAATGGGTGGTTGTGGCATGTTTATGAACAAGAAGTTATAATAGTATATGTCCGATTCCAATCTCTTGTCAACCATGCCTCCCTCTCTCCTCTTTGCAAAACCTGCTTCCTGATTCTTTGGATAGATATACAATAGGTGCTATCTGCGAAATTGATTTTCTGGTAATAATATCACACTCAACCACAAACTCTTCTTTGTGCTAAAAGCTTATATCATTGAATAATTTAATTATGTATAATATGTAGTTAGATATCCAAAGTGGTCAATGACTCATAAAAAGCAACAATAACATAGTTTAGTATGGATAGTGTGGAAATCATACTATCAAAATCAAAATCAGACATAGCACTATAAAGTTTTTAGAAATAAAATGAGACATTATTTACAATAACAAAAGACAAAAAGTAAGCCAGCCAACAAAAATTATTAGGTTCACTGTAAGGCAGAACAGAATAGAAATTATTAATCTTATTGGTAAGATCCCAGCAGTTTTCAAATAGTTGATGACATAGCTTGACCAGGCTCTAGGTTCGTCCTTAGTTTATGTCTTTAAGACATATGACAGGCATAGCTAGTTAGGAATCTTCATGACATACCACTAATTCACTAAAGATTGATTGCTGTCTGTTACCATCAGAATACAGCTCCCTATTTATCCCCATTCTAATTTTAGTTACTTCTTTCTCCTATCTCTTTGTGTTCTCTGTAACAAACTCTTTGCTTTATGCCGATTAGTTTTGGAGCTTGCTGATTGTTTGATTATATCAAAGCTAATTGTTCTGCCTTGAAAAACTGGCTGTTGACTAAATTCTAATGCTGATTAATTTGGCTATTTTAAAAACTTTCAATGAAGTTCTACAGTTTTATTCTAGCTTATTTTATGCTTTAGTCATTGTTAAATGTCTTAGGAAGCCATGTGGTTGAAAAGTGAACTATAAATAATTGAAGTAAAATATTTGCAATGTTTAACAGAAAAAATGTATCTGGTTGCTAAGAGTCAGGAATGATTTGTTGGTGCATAATTAATCAGAAGAAAAAAATGAGGATGAATATTAATGAAAGTAACAGAATAACAGAGTTGGAAAGGACCTTGGAAGTTTACATCAGATTAGATTAACAGAGTTGGAAGGGACTTTGGAGGTCTTCTAGTCCATTCCCCTGCTTAGGCAGGAAACCCTACACCACTTCAGACAAATGGTTATCCAATCTCTTCTTAGAAACTTCCAGTGTTGGAACATTTACAGCTTCTGGAGGCAAGTTGTTCCACTGATTAATTGTTCTAACAATTAAGTGTTTAGTTACAGGCTGTATCACAGAGGTATTAACAACAATACAAGCGTTTGCTTTGACACCTGAATAAAATATGCAATCTCTGTGGTTCAGAGTACATAAGGAAATTCCAAGATATTTTAACCTTTTGTATCTCTCAGTAAATCTGGCAGATTTTAAAGTTAGCCAAATTATGCTGTTATCAACACAACTGTACATTTGAAAAGTGTCATTCACCAATTGACAGTGACCACCTTTTCCAATATTTTGGTGATATAGAAAGGAAATGTGTCACATAAGGATGGGTGGAGTGGCTGTGTCTTTGTGCGCTTTTAAATGTTGATTCAGAATTTCAGCAGTCCTTTCTCATGGATAAATTAGGAAAAGGAGAAATTTCTGATTCTCAAACACCATTTTTCTCTCCCTCTAGCTTTTGTGTTCTTATTCTTGTCTTGTTAGTTCTGGTGTGATACTTGACATTAGGCTCCGTTAAAAGTCTTTTCTATTTCAGTCATCTTTCTTCACCTTTTAAACTTTTAAGTTTAAACTTCACCTTTTAAACTTAAATAGGTATGTAGTTTTATTTTCAGATGACTGGAGGGGGGGGGTTGTCAGATCGGATTAGCACGAAAACGTGTTCCCTAAAAACAGGTACTGAAATACATTGCTTAATCTTAACTAGTTCTCCCTGAAAGTAATGCTTTTTTGAACAGGTGGGACTCACTTTTGAATATTTACCAATGAATGCTTAAGTTTGTGCTGTCCTCTTTCTCCCTTTAAGACTTTTGTTACATTCCCAACCCAAATTACTCTTCCAATCAATATGTTTTCTTTTTGCTACTCTTCTGTTACTTCTACTTTCGCAGTTTGTTAACAAAATAAAAATAATTTATATAGTATTCTGTCTTTGCATATGACTGCTACAGAGAGTTACTTCTGTATATAATATAAAGCATGGCAGCCACCAGAAGTATAAAATTAGTTGATGTGTAACATTTTATTTAGACCAAAGATAGATTACAAAATAGCATTCAAAGGTATTAGTATATCATCAATTATTATTATATACCTCCAGAAATCCAAAATACATTCCAATTTCCTCCCAACAATAACCCTGTAGGACAGGTGACGATGAGAGGTTTCATGTTAACCAGTAAGGTTCTATGATTGTGGGAGATTTGGAATTTGGGTCTCCCCAAGTCTAAGTCTGGCTTTCAGAATTTTAAAAGGATAGCAGGTGCAACACCATTTAGATTTATTTCATTACTGTAAAGTTCTGTGGAGTTTGGGTATGGGATACCAGAGAAAGCAATATTCCTACATGAATTCTTCCATGAAAAATGTTATAATGCAATTGCTGCCAGTTTCTATATCATGTATTATAAGAAATAGAAATATATATTCTGTTTATATATTTTAGGGAAACAATGCATGGGACTTGTGGACCTTGACCGGGCTTGGAGTGTGGAAAGAAGCAACTACTCAGTCCAAGTGATAACCATGGAACCACAGTCATGTTCCCCAAAGAATAATTTGATAACCGGTATCCCAGTTTAGTTCAAAGGTTTTTCTATCAAGTTGAATTAATATTTAGTTCTCTTGATCAAAGTGCAAATAACATTTTGGAGATTGGAAAGGAAACAGTGTACATCTTGAATCTGTTGTCTCCAGAAGAAGGAAGGCAATGCAGTAGGGGCTATCTTGCAAAGCTTCCTAATTCCTGCTTGAAGTATGTGATTAAATGACATCTGGCTCTCCCAAAATATTAATCAGTCTACATTATAAAAGCAACCAATATGTCCTTGGAAGAATGATTTCCTTTTCTATGAAAATTGGTCTTGCATGTTGGAAAACATATTTTGCAAGGGTTCTGGGCTCATCAGTATTGATCTAAAGAACAAATCACAGAATCTTCTTTTCAATGTTTTACAATTATACTTTCTGTGCTCAGTTACAACTGTATTGCTGTATTGATAAAAGTATCACTTTGCTCAATTTTTTTAAGATTTTTTTTTTTAGAAAAATATGTTCTAAATAAAATAATCTTACTCCGAAGACAATTTATGATCACTGTGTGGTCAACATCCACATAGTTTTCTTAACAACTGTATAATTGTGGTTTGATTGTTTGCAATTTCCTAGAGTAAGTTAAGCTTTTTAATATTTTTTGGGTAATCTCCCATTAGTACTTACTAACCAGGTCCACAACTTCTTATTTCAAGATAGCCAAAGTCATTTAGAGAATGCTTCAGGTCAAATTAATCACTGTATTTACAGTATGCAATTTATAAGTAGATTTATACATTAACTTTGATTACTGTGCTTTGTAGGACAAAGCAAACTTGCAAGAAATTCTTTAAATGTGTACCTTTACCTATTATTTCTGCAACTCTTCTCTTTATCTTCCTTCAGTGTGAGGATCCTTTAATGTTTTCCTTTGAGGATTATGTTTTGCTTTGGCCACATGAATGCTGGGGAGGAAGAGAATAGGGAAAAGAAAACAACAGTGGAATGACAATTAAAGTAGAAAAAAGCCACATGTTCCTTTTTCATTTTTCCCCCCTGAGATCTGTTTCTCTAAGAAAACTAATTGTTTGTATTTTGAGATACAGTATGTGATCATGTGTGAGTTATAGGTTGGTCCTCCCGAAAAAACACTGAAATAGCACTCCTTTTTTCAGACTTTAATTTATATCAGCCCATTAAATAAAACCTCATTTTAACTTAAGGTATGTTGTAATTAACTATTCAGACAGATTCTTCAGAAGGTAAATAGAAATAGAATTCTTAATTGGCTAAGTGTGATTGGACACACAAGAAATTTGTCTTGGTGCATATGCTCTCAGTATACATAAAAGTAAAGATACATTTATCAAGAGTCAAGAATCATAAGTTACAACACTTAATAATAGTCATAGGGTACAATCAGTGGTGGTATTTGACTGGTTCTGCCTGGTTCTGGAGAACCGGTAGCGGCGATGAGCAGTGGAGACCGAACCAGTTCTCTTCGCTGCTCTGTGTTTGGCCCACGCACCCACCCAAGCTTCCATACTCACTTTTATGGCCAGAATTCAAAGCGCATCTGCTTTGCGCGGCGCAAAATAGCACTGCGCAGCAGCTGCTGCAGCAGCCAGCATCGTGCAGGGTTGCAGGAGGCAAGTTAGAACGCCTCTGCGCCTGCGCAAAGTATGTTTTTGGTGCGTGCGTGCATGCAAAGTGTGCATGCGCACAAAGCGCGACCACCAAGCCACGCTCACCGAACCGGTGGCAACTTTATTTGAATACCACCACTGGGTACAATAAGCAATCAAATCATACTAGGAAACAGTCAATATAATCATAAGGATACAAGTCATGAAATTACAGTCATACACTCACAAGTGGAACGGGGTGGGTGATAAGGAGTGATGAGAAGATTAATAGTAATAGTAGTGCAGACTTTGTAAATAGTTGGACAGTGTTAAGGGAATTATTTGTTTAGCAGGGTGATGATGTTCCGGAAAAAACTGTCCCTGTGTCTGGTTGTTCTAGTGTGCAGTGCTTTATAGCATTACTTTGAGGGTAGGAGTTGAAACAGTTTATTTCCAGGATGTGAGGGATCTGTAAATATTTTCACAACCCTCTTTTTAACTCGCTGCATACAGGTAAAGTAGTGTAATCAGATTCATAACACTTCAAACTATTACAATGTTTAGGTTCTGTTTGGTTTACTCAAGCAATGAAAACCTCCTCCAGAATTAATTCATTTGAGTAGACTCAGTTGTTCCTCCATTAATGTCAGGGCTGGATAATAAAATATTCAAAGTCCTTATCATATACAGAGCTGAGAAATCTCTAATATTCCAGGCTTGATTCATCTCTCTTTGTTTCATCTCTCATAGTACTTGTCTGAAAAATTAAACAGATTGCTCAAAGCTAATCAAGGAGAGAGTAATGTGTGTAATAATTCTGTTAAGAAACACTTCGTTTTGAATGGTGTTTGTAACATTTTACTATTGATGATGGCACAACCAATGAGCATATTTTTCTTGTTCTCATTCTATTATGTTTTCTAATAGTATAATATCAGTGTAATGTATTTTTGAGACTCTTGGATTCTTTAAATAAGAAATTTAACATTTACTATTGAACATTTAAGATGGTCCCTTTCATATTTAATGATAGTTTTTGCTTGTATTACTTCATATTGTATGTTTAAGAGAGTTTAAAACTGAATATCAAGACAAACAATCCCAAGGCAGTTTGTTTATACTTTATTCCTGTGAAGATAAAAGGCAGGAAGACCCAAATGTTTGCACCTTTGATAGTCCAGAATATAAATGAATCAATCTTAAAGGAAATATCTTTGCTACTACCATTCTGTTTCATTACCAAATCATAACTGACAAAGGTGTGAATAAAGTGTTAGAGAATTGACTGCTTCAGAGAGAATTTTGATAGGTAATTACTAAGATCAGCTTTAACAAAAAACTCTAAAAGCTTATTATCCAAAGCAAACACACACACTGAAATGGAAAAAATGCTGTAATTTGGAAGCAGTTGGAAGCCCTGAAACCCAAGTCATTTCTCCCTAATCAGTGGAAGAAAGAGAGAGAAGCAGATGGCTAAGCAAAAGGGCTCAAAAGACATTTTATGAGCTGATAATGAAGTTTCATAAGTGGCAAGATCATGGCTGCAGCAGTCTACAAATACTCTGGAAGTTGTTCAGTTGATGTTAGTGAGAGGATTTTTTGTACATTGGTCACAGCCTCCTCTTTCTATGATGACAAATCTTCACGTATATGTTTCTATTTAAAGCATTGATTCCTGCCTAAATAAATTTTCCTTCGTTTCATTCTGAATTGTCAGGGAGAGCCATATGGGAGTGGAAATAAACATTTTTTTCCAAAAGTAATATTTTGGTAATCATCATTTGCTATGTATTATAAAAATAAATTGATGAAAATCAGTTTGAAGCCACAAACTTTTCAGGGTGCCCATAAGTCACTCTAATCAAAACTATTACTGGAAGCTTTCTGAGATATTTGGCATTTGTTCACCACTGTGTATCAACAACTAGAGCCAATGCATATATTATTACATAGTTTCCCAATCTATGCTACTTGTAATTTTATCTGCGAAACTGTGGTTTCTAATTTATTCTTTAAGATTGTAATGTTCCAACTGGGATCATGGTTTAGGGTGTGTTAACAAAGCATTCCAAATTGTTTTCAAATTGGCAATAGGCTTTCATGCATTCATTCTTTTTTGTTCTTCAAAAAGGTCACAACACTTTTCATGCTTTATTTTTAGCTTCTAACTTTCTTCTTCTAGTAGTGCAAGTATGTGTTAGAGAGACCAATGTGACAGCCCTGCCAAATTTATCTGATAGAGACCAAGTAACAGAATCACAGACTAGGCCTGCTAATTTATTTTTCTAAAATTGCAATACTCGGTTACTTAAATGCTGTATGTGTACATGCAGATTTAACTTTTTTTTTTAATTAGGCAATTTTCCTAGGCTCCATATATCAATAATGGTTTTGTATTTCATATTATCAGATGCATTGGTGCATTTTTTATTAAAAGCAGATTTTCAATTTATGAACTCATTTATTCAAATTGTTTTAAATAAAAAATTACACCAAAGGATTGCAATGCAATAAGGAAAGAGGGAGGTCTGAACATTTTTTCACTTTCTTGCTTTTTAGATATCCTTTATATGCCAGCTTCCTAGAAGGTGAATTTGTTAAGAACGTTGTTACTGAATAGACAAGTGCAGCTACTTCATTCCAATTCCGGTATTGGAAGAGATTTTTAGGATAATCAGTACAAAAAGTTGTATAAAATTAATCTTCCAATTATTCTTCAATAATTGTGTAGCAATTTATATTTGCATTTTTATGGCAAGCTGGATTGTAAATAAATGCACAATGGCATTTATATATTTAACTCTTTTCAGTATTAACATGAAACCCAAATAATTGTTAAATTTATTTTTGTAAGTAACATGCATGTCCTTTAACATGCAAATAACTTCTGTGGAATAGCAGCAAGTTATCAAAATTTCAGCAGACAAGGTGGGGAATTTAATATTCCTTCCTGCAACCCTCATGGAAATTACTCTTCTGAAATGTGGATTTCCACCAAGATAAAATTTCAATTGATACCAATGAAATTTTTTTCTTAATTCAAATTGTGCTTTTATAGAATGATTTTCAATAAGGATGTAGAAGGGAAAGGAAAGGGTTAAATCGCTCCTTGGTATTCCTATATTTTTATTTCCAAGAAACTGTATGCGGATTTTTAGGAAATCAAACCCATAATTTTGTACCAAGATATAAGTTAAAAGCACATGATTATTCATTATAGAGAATATCAATAAGTTCCTGCCCTGCTCATCTATGTTCTTTGGCCTGTTAATTCTGTTATCATCCAGTAGATGCTACTAAACTTGTATTATAGAATCTACTTTCATACATTTTAAAACAGATTACTTTGTGTTTTTTAAGAGTTCACAATAACCTATATCAGGGATGTCAAACTGGCGGCCTGCAGCCCAGATGCATTATGCGCAGGCCATGCCCACCCCAGCTCCGTGAAGATATGTCATGTGATGGCAACATGACGCCGCGAGTTTGACACCCATGAGCTATGTTTAACCAAGGTCTAGTAGACAAACCAGAACTTACTCATTCTCTTAGTGATGATAGGCATTAGCAAATCAGAATATTGACTCAAATATCCAGGCACTTTAGAATCACTTTCAATCTTTGTTTGGACTCCTGTCTAAACCATTTAATTTGGTGCAACTCTCTGTACCAAAATCAGCCAAATCACATATCTTAGTGTGAAAATTGAACTTTGTCATAAGTCTATCATTACACAGGCTGATAGCAATCGTGAAAGATTTAAAGTAAGTGTGGTTACCACATTACATTGAATTGATACCCTACTATTCCATTAACTTTAGTACTCAAAGCATTTTGCAACAAAGATGGAATGAGTAAAACATGACAATAAAATAGATGATCCAAACTCAAATCACAAAATAAAATATAGAAAAAGATGTGTTTTGCCAACTTCCTGCATGCTTGGAAGATAGGAACCAAACACATCTTAGGAAACAATAGCCACTACCTACAAACCCAATGAAAGCACAGGTCAAGGAGCACTTCCTAACTACACATCAGCCCTTTGAGCACAAGCACAACTCCACTTCCAAACAGCACCTCCATTATGTACTCTACAATTTTTGCACTTTTACAACCTTGAGAATGGTTTAAAAATTACTAAGAAGGCGTCTTCCCAGCTACTCATTGTTCTGAAAGCCAAGTAGTGTTAAAAACCAGCCAAGAAAAAGACTGACAAAACTAGCTGAGGTTTGTTCAGAAGTTGAGCTCAACTTGAAGAAAGCTTAATAGGAATTTGCTAAATTTTGCTAATTTTCAGAGTAAGAAATGGCATGAAGGATAGGGATTGTATCAAAAGCAGCTGCAGCATTTGGATGAAATCTTCAGCGTTCTGTCCATGGCACCATCATTGCTGCAGTTGCTCGACCCATCTCTGTCTTTCCTGGAAAAGACAGCTGCACCTCTTGACTTAATTTCCTGTTGTTCAAGATGTGCACAGTTCTTATTTTATTATGGTGGTCTTCCTTTTACTGATGCATACTGCTTTGTATACCAGATAACTGAAAAGCAGCAGAAAATTACAGTTAGTACAGTAAATTAAAAGAATAGTAGGGGAGGATAGACAAGGGAAATTGTAAACGGTATGGACCAAAGATGTGCAGATATGAAATTCGCTAGCGGAAAATATTTGTTTTATCTGAGGCAATCTGGTGCCTTCAGATGTTTGGGGACTGCAATTTCAATCAATTCCAGACAGTTTAACATGGATCTCCTTTTAGGGATAAGAATTTTAGAAGAGTCCTTATTTCAAAGCTAATCTGATCACAGTAGATTTTATGGGAATCTTACAGGATTGTGCAGCTATTCAGATCCAAAATAGAAAAAAAATGCTTTGGAAGTGATGTGGTTATGGTTTGCTGCACCTTTTCCTGATATCAGGAAAGAATGTGTTTGAGCTAAAGAAGTGTTAAGGAGGAGGTGGCAAAGACATGCACCTTTTTAATACTTCTGTAGTGGAAACATTTTCCTGGAATGATACAGCTATCACAGAAAATCAAAGAAAGATATAGACTCTTTAAAGAGGTGCCAGCAGGTGCAGTAACTATATTCATCTTACTGGTCAAACACCATCCAACACATCTGCCAAATTGCTGCTGCCTTCAGGCTGCTGAGAAAATGTAAGGATACACTCAGGATACCTTGCACCATTGATTAACAAACTCTAGCCAGGATGATAGTTGTTATCACTTTGGAATACCTTATATATTTTTTACCCAGAGAATTTCAACGTCCATGCTGAAGTTGCCCCATGAGAAATGGTTAGGATTTCATGGACCTGTTTGATATCTGACTGCATATCCAGTAGGATGCACAATGGATTTATGTTTGGCTATTCTGTTTGGCTAGTGTGCTAATGATCTGCTAGAGCAGGAGTGTCAAACTTGTGGCCCACAGCCAGGATGCACTTTCCCTGGTTTAGTGAAAGGGGAAAATTCACGATATGTCACGTGACGACACGCTTGACACCCCTGTGCTAGAGGATCATTCCGTAACTCTAGTTTAATGGGCAGATCATTTTCTGGGCATATTTAGAGCAGCAGCTGCTACAAAACTTTGTTTAAAAATTCAAACATCTGGATATATATAATTTGGGGAGAGGGAGGATGAACTTGGAGAATCTCCCATCTAATATGCCTTTATTATTATCAAAATCCTGGTCTGTAGAATATAGTAATGGCCTAAATAGTTGGTACTATAGCATCTAAATGCCCTTTTCTCTTTAGCAGAAGTCAGTTGACATCTTGGTTATCAGAAAAATGAGAACAATTAAGCAAACAAATGAACAAATAGAGGAATTATAATGAGCAATCAGGCTGAACCATAGGAGTTTTTAAAGGCCCATTTATCATTTAATTTTTAGACTGCTGCACTCTTAAGACACTTGAAATATCTGCAGCAGTAATTGCCATAAGGACATGTCTCTCCATTATGTCTGCACAGCACAGTCTTATGCTTTAGATAAAAATGCTGCAACCCCATCAGGATTTTGGAAGAGTGCCAAATTCAGAATCCAGCTCAGGAATTTTCACGTTGGTTTGTTTGTTTCTGCAAATAAAACTGATCAGATCTGCTTCAGTTTGGATTCTCTTCTTGAGACAAGTCATGTTCATATTCTTTTCACCTGAGGAAATGGACTGGATGTGTGGCGATGAAAGCTACCGCTTACTTGTTCATTCCTTATTCTTCTGAGGAGAATAAAACAGCCACGCTCCGACAACTTCATAATTAAGGCAGGTGAGCAATTCTTTCCCAAGTGTGGAATGTGACCTGCATACTAAACGTAGGCAGAAGCCTTTATTTAAAAAGACCCCTTTCCCTGAAAAATCTTAATAATTGTAGGTTACTCAAATATTCTACTCTTGGATGAGATATTGATAAAGTGATGACATCACAATTCAGGATGCTCATTTCAGTAGTGTTCCTTCCAAGATAAAATATTGAGACACCTTTGATATCTGGAAAAATGATCTATGCCGGAGATCTTCGCTGGTGGAAAGTGCACCTTCTACTAGACCTCTTGGCTGTTTTCTACCTTCCGGGCTTTCTAATGGGTTGGGCCTTGGGGATATGGTTTTGGAGGGACACCAAACTTTATTTCAGAATGTGTCCAGAAGGTGGTGCTGGAAGAATATTGTTTGACCACTAGATATTGACCGATGGAATGCTACATGGTTCTTTCATGGTTTTTTCATGCTGTTTAATATCTAAGATATCTAATATCTTTTTGGAGAAATGTTATCAGGATGCCAATGACAATTCTATCCTTCTACCTACTTTTTAACTCCAAAGGAACAATCAGTACCCTTGAATGCTGTCTTGGTAATGGGCTGCATTAAGAAAGAGCTGAAATTAAATTCCAAGAACAATGAGGTGCTTAACTTGGGATCAAAGCAAAGCTTGTTCTGGGTGGGAATGCATCCCCCATAAAAAGCAGACTCACAATTTGGGATTGCTCCTTGATCTTTTGCAAGTGCCAGCTTTGGCAAGGAGCACATTTGCATAATTATAGTCAGTGCATCACTTCCTGAACTGCTTTGACACAACATCAGTGATCAATGTCTCAGTTACAACCCATCTTGATTAATTTGAAGTTCTTTTTGTAGGTTACCTTTTAAAGTGACTGGAAATTACAACTGGCTATTGACCTGAGCAAGCTACAGATGTGGATTCTGTGGTCAAGCTACTATAATATGGATTCTGTGGTGCATGATCTGGACTGGTGTCTATTGCTTATAGGGGCCAATTTAAGGTCTTCATATGGACCTTTAACTTAGGACCTCGTTTGTTCCTGTCCTGCTTACAGAAATCTGCTGGAACTCTTCTGAAGATGCCTTCTCGTCGGACCTGAACCTTTGCTATAGAGATGTGGGAAAGAATCTCCTGTGGCTCTGAAGTTATGGAATGTATTCCCAACTGAGCTAGTTTGACTCCTACACTCAAAACTTTAAGGAAGATAGCCCAAAGCACCTCTTCAGCAAGCTTTTCACTGTTAATTGTTTTAATGATTGGATTTCATTTTTACTTATTTAATTTTGTTATATTTATTTACACTTCTTGTGGTAAGACATCCAGACAGTCCATTTGGTGTAGTGGTATTTAAAACATCAGGCTAGAAACTTGGACACCCTGAGTTATTAGACAGCCGGATGACTTTTCGCCAGTCACTTTCTCCTCAGCCCTGGGAAGCAGGCAACGTCAAATCACCTTCCGAAATCTTGATCTTGACAGGAAAACCGCAGAGACAAATTCAGGCGCTCACCAGGAGTCAGAATCCCCCGTACCCAAAGAAACAGTCACAAATTGACCTTACTTCATGCTTAAGTGGTCAGAGTACATAAGTGCACTAACACGCCTGTCGTCCCGGTCATTGTATTTTTATTCTCTTATTCTTGTTCTCGTTTTTCGTTTGACAACTGCCAATAAATAAATAAAAGAAACCAAATAAATAAACAGACCCTGACGCGGGCAATTGAAATCTTCATCAAAGGTGGGGTTCCTTGGGGACACCCACCAACAAACAACGACCGGAGGCCCCGCTCTTTTGCTCTCCTACTCCGTTTTTTTCCAAGAAAGCCGTCTCGCTCTTCCTCAGGGAGCCCGGCGTTAGGATCGGCCGAAGACTCTCCGCCGCGCTTCTCCCACGCCACCCCGAAGGGCGAGCCGAGACGCGCACGCCTGCGCCCCAGACTCTTCCCGGCAGCGGGCGGCATGACCGCCTCCGAGCTCGAAGGGAGGGGAGGGGAGCGCCAGGCAGGGACGCCAGGCAGGGGTGTGGGGGAGAGGCTCCCTCCTGCCGCTTGCCTCGTTGCCGACCTCTTCCCTTCGCCTCCTGCGAGGACTGGGATTAACTGCAGCCGGGCGCCCCCAGAGGGCCCCGCTGGCGCTCAGTTCCCGGCGCGCTGGGCTGGGCTGGGCTGGGTTGAGGGCGCCTCCTAGAAGAGCCGGTGGGGAGGCCGCTCCGGCGCCTTCGCTTCTTTGCATCTCCTCCCAACCTGCCGTTGCCGCCGGTGGTCGAGAGACCCAGGGCTGTTCTCCCTCTCTCTTTTCTTTCTTTCTTTACCCACCCCCCCTTCTGTCTGTGTCTGTCTGTCTTCCCTTGTCGACATGGATTTCTCTTTGAGGGTCCTCGTTTTATCCTGGCTTTGCCTGGAGACTTTAGGGGACTTCGACGGAAGGTAAGTTGAACGGTTTCCTGGAAGGAAAAGGTTGGGGGAAACGAAAGAAAGGGGGGCATCACCCGGAGCCCACGTTTCTTTCTGGAGAACGAGAAATGGTCCAATTTGCTAAGGGAAAGAAACAGTTCACAACCTTTGGCGCTGTCTGCTGTTTTCCTCACTAACGTCTAAGAGTGGCTCAGACGGGGCAGAAAACCTGTTGGAGGAGGAATCGGACTGCACTCTTCTTTCTTTGCACAGGATCCAGAACATGCTCCCTTCAAAATCTAGCAGTTTGTCCAAAATACGACTGTGAAAGTTTTCACTTAATCGAGGAAACAGAACTGGAAGCGACCAGTAACAGAGGCACCTGCAGTAGGAAGTTTGCAAGACCCTAATACCCCTAAATGAAATACCGGGTTTTATTTTTGTGCTCCTTTTTTAAAAATAAAGTATAGCCTTTAGGTGCAGGAAGCAGTTCATGTGCCTAAAAAGACTTTATCACATAATGATTGGCACATGCTTCCATATAGTAGTCCATTTGATCAAATGCACGACTTATTAATGCACCTCTTTAAAGTTTCCGGAAGACTCCTGTTTGTTATTTAGCATTTTTGGTTTTGTTTTGTTTTTCACTAATTTAAGGCTATCCCTCTGGAAGTCATGAACCTTGAATTGTTACAAGGATTCCAGTAGTCCTTTGAAGTTGGTCAGTTTCAAATTCCTAACACAGGGGAAAAGCCACTTTGTGAATGGAAGACTGATTCAGCGCCAGGTTTTCTGATTTGTAGTTTGGTCTCTGAACGGCTACACTGCACTGATTCTCACCTAGGAGGAAACCATCTAAACTAGGAAGGCTTACAGCTGGCATCTTGGCATTTATTTGAAAATAATTTCATCCCTTCCAATCCAACCTACCTCTAATGAAATGTGAATAGTCTTAATCTGAACTGATTATTTTTTGACACAGATAGCTGTAGTAGTCCTAAGCACATCACTGGAACAGCTGAATTATTTTAAATATCTAAACTGACTGATAGGAACTCTGTGTTATTAGGTATATCCACCTGAAGATGTCTGGATTTAAGTCTACAATCTTCTGTAAAGCTCAGTCTTTTACTTTAAACATCCTTGCTAATAACAGAAGCCAACACTACAATGGATTTTTGATAGGGTTCGGCATTTTACACATTAGTGTAGATGGAAAGAATCTAATATGCATTTGAATGTGCAGGAAGAATACTAGCAAGAAAAATTGTTCTAGTTTAATTGATAGGCTACTGAGAGGTGTGTTACTGCATCTGTAGGGATGGTAAACACAACATATGATTATATTCTATGGATATTAATCATATTCTGTTGCATGTTATTGTGAAAATAACATGTTCTCAAAAGGTAAACATGGAAGAAAGAGCTTTAAAGCAAAATACTTTAATTGCTGAAGTGGTGATTTCCCCATTCATGCATAATTATATGGATTGTCATACCAAGTAAATGCAAACTCCAGAACATCTGTGTAGCTTCAGTGTTTGGGGGTGACATGAGAAAAGAATGGCTATCTCCTGTCAGATAAATAATGCAGTTGACAGTAAACTAGGGACTATTTATAACCCTGTAAAATTTTTAATTTCTTTTTATACCTGTATGTTTTCCAGGAATGTTTTGATATCTTTAAACACATATGTAAAATAAACATTAATCAGACAAGCTGTAACCTTAAGGGCACAATTATATTCCACCATTCAATGCAAATATTTCAGTTGTGTAAAGATGCATGATAGGCAAGTCTTGACAGGCTTAGGCAGTCCAAGTTTCTTTTGAAATACATTGAAATACAACCTTTCTGTAACTGATAGACCTATTAGATATATTATCTTTGTGTAATTGTTGAATAGATCATAACTACAGTACTTTGACCTCATTTATCAAGCCATTTTCATTGGAACAGAGAATAATACAGATACGGAGCTGGTTTTTAACTAGGTATCGCAATGCAAACAGTCAGGAGGAACAACTCTTAATGGGATCCTGTACATGGGAATTGTTTATCTCTCCCTGTGATTTGAAGCCATGAAAAGAATGCACACCTGCTCTGTTTATTGACTGGAACTGATATAAGTCTCCATACTTACTTGGTTTTTGTAATTCATGAAGATATTTAGGAATAGTGAAGAATAACAGACCTTATGGCTATACCAGTAGGCAAATCTCATTGTAAAAAGCAAATCCTTCTTTAATATTATACTAGCCTCTTTGGTCTCTGGATATGGACTATGTTCCAGTCTCCAAAGACTCAGAGGCTGGGGGACCCAGAAATGAACTGAAACCCAGACCTGCAACACAAACTATTCTGGTTATACTATAGACCAGGGGCCTCCAACCTTGGCAACTTTAAGCCTGGCGGACTTCAATTCCCCTGCCAGCTTTGCTTTGGGAATTCTTTGAGTTGAAGTCCTCCCGGTTTAAAGTTACCAAGGTTGGACATCCCTGCTATAAACCCCTGTGGACTTGGAAACATAACTGCAGATCCTAGACTCATGCCACTGGTAACTTAATAGAAACCATCATCAGTCAACTGATTTCCATCTACAAAAATCTACACATCAGATCTCAGAAGAGCTTTCAAACTGTTTGACATGAAAGAGGGTTATAGGCATCTAATTCCCATTGATACTCATTAATGAAAGTTTGAGTGTTTAATAATATCATTTGGATTGGATAGTTCTTCCTCAGCCTTAATGATATTTATGAACCATGTTTATCAAGACATATTGGAGACCATTCAGATCATCTTTTTTGGGGGATAATTTGTTTATTTACACATTGTCCACACGAGTCAAGTATGTGCAATTCTGCAGTGCTTATAAATACATATTCTCTAGTCTATGCCAAGGGTCTCCAACCTGTGGCTGCAGCCCACTACCGGGCCTTGACCCATTCAGAACTGGACTGTGGAAGTGGTGGGCAAGTGTGAGCAGAGGGCAAGTGCATACGTGCACACCATTTGCCTGAGCAGTGGACGTGCATGCCCGCCACTTGTGCAAATGGACCCTTGCACGTTGTGTGCTAGCTCGCCACTCATGTGGAACCATCCCCCCTTCCCTCCACCGCCAGTCCCCAAAACCCGAAAGGTTGGCGACTTCTGCTCTATACTATGCTGAAAAAATGGGCCTTTCTTTGATCTGTCTGTCTAAGTTATTCTATTTCTTCAAGGAGAATTCAGTTGGATTCAGTTAAAGATGAATTTAGTGAATTTTGGAAATCTTCCATCCTGTACACATACACAATCCTTTACAGGTAGTCCTCAACTTACAATGTTTAATGACCATTCGAAATTACAACATCACAGAAAAAAGTGACTTATCACTGTTTTTCACACAACCGCTGTAGCATCTCCATGGTCATGTGATCAAAATCCAGATGCTTGGCAACTGGCTTATATTTACGACGATTGCAGTGTTCCAGGGCCATGTGATCCCTTTTTGTGATCCTCTGATAAGCAAAATCAATGGGAAAGCCAGATTTACTTAAAAACAGTGTTACTAACCTAACAACTGCAGTAATTTGTTTAACAAATGTAGAAAGAGAGGTCATAAAATTCACTTAACAACTGTCTCAGTAACAGAAATTTTGGGCTCAATTGTGGTCGTAAGTCGAGGACTACCTGTAGTGGACTTTGTCATCTTTTAAAATCTTACATTTTTGGCAGTTTTGCACACTGCTTGTGAGTTTTACTAAGAAAGGTGAGCCTTTGTCTATTCAAATGAACATTCACTTTTCAGTATACCCTTCATTATCCAGATCTCTTATGTCTCTCTATGGCTTAGTCTGATACTTCTGATTTTCCTTTGAGTGCTGTGCTTTTGTAATCTGATTAAAAGTTTAATGAGAGCTTGCTGTACATTTTTCTTCCCAAATCTTTTTCTGCCAAGCAAACTGAAGTTTCCTTTAAAAAGAAGCTTTTGACTACCAGGGATAGTTTTCAACACTGGAACTCCAATTGCTGTCATATCTGAAGGCACAACACCTTCTATTGAGGTTCAAATTGATCCCAGGGACATGATACATTTACAAACTTCTCATAAACTTATATATCATCAGATCAGGAGAACACACTTTTTTCCCATTTTATACATGTATCTTTGATACACCTAACTTGAAAAACAAGTGGTCTGATCTTCTGCCACATGATTATTTATTGACCCTGAAGCCCTCTTACCACATCCATTTGGCTCCTGAAAAACGTAATTCTCCTCCTTCTAGTATCTTTCCTGCCTTACGTGAGTGACTTGGAGGAAGATGGAAGATGCCTTCCCTTAACTGACCTCATGTATAACTGCGCAACAGCAGAATCCATATATGGAGGCTCAAACAGATGACTTTAAGGGGGCCTCTGTCATCTTCTGTTTTCTTCCAAGTGGAAAGAATTGTTTCACAATGATCACTAATACATTCTTCCTTGGGGGAAGAAATCTTGTTGCTCTGGAGATTTCACTCTATTTAAAACAACTTATCTTTTCTATGAGACTGTGGCTTTTTTTGGCTTCTTGGAATAGTCAACATTTCTTTTTACTACACTTGTCAACTTGCCAAATCTCTTACCAGAAGCTGCCTGCACTGTTTGTCTCTTTCACAGGGGCCTTGAGACACTATTTCATTGGCTTTTATTATTGAATGACCTTATGTCAAGGATCTGGATGCCATTCTAGTGGTATTTTATTTTTCCTCCACAACGGTCCATTTCATTTCCTGTTAGGGTCTTTCCTCTGCTTTAGAAAGAGATTATCAGCTCATTCAGCAGAGTTTGCAGAACCACATGTTATGAATTCGTTTAATTCAACTAGCATCATTTTCTTTCATCTGTTGGATGTACAGTTCCAACTATCTTCTGCCTGTTGCCTACATGATGAAACAGAATTACTCCATTGCTGTCTTAACCACCAGCAAGATCATTGGACTGATATTTTGCCTGGGACTGGTTCTCATTTAATATGTCAGTTAATGTCTCTGCACTAGTGTTGCAATGTTAGGTCATGCAGAGTTATTATCCATGACTGTTGCTTAATGTTTCCTGATTGTTCCCTTTCCCCGAGAGCTTTTATTTTCTCCAGAATAGCAAACAGATCAACATCTCCTCAACGATCAGTTGTATCAAGCCAAGACCTCTAACAAATGTTCTGCTAACTGACATCACTAAGAGGGTCCCTGCATTGCCGAAGTCTCTCCCTTGTCTCCTGGCTCTTTACCAGATTTTTCTCTGTCATATGATCATTAAGAAGCTGCACCCTTTCCTATACATGCACATATCAATCCTGCAGCTTTTTATCTGCAGCTTCTAGCTGCTTTGAACATACATCTGTTCATTACCATTTGAGCTTGGAATCTTAGCCTTATGCACCACTGTTCTACTGTGCAAATATGGACGAAGAATTCAAGGGAGAGTTCTTTCAGACCCCTGATTCACAAGAAGCGATCTGTAATATTTGATTCATTGGAAAAGATACCTAGAAGAGAGATATCCTGGGAAATAGCCAAGGATTCCTTTGATATTGGTGCAGTACTTAAGGCATCAGGCTAGAAACCAGGAGATTGTGAATTATAATCCCACCTTAGCAATGAAAACTGGCTGTTTGACTTTAGAGGAGAAGAGGAAAAAGGAGTATTAGGCATTTAAATTATCAAAATAATAATAAATGTATTGCCCTATACAATTCAGACCTAATTGATTATATCCTTTAACTTTAGTGCATGCTAGCAGCTTTGATTTTGAGATAGAAGAGGGTTGGTTTGGGAATGGGGAAGCTATAATTACGCTGACTAACCCCCTTATAATGGAGGGATGAATTCAGGAGTAGACAAGTGCCTAACAAGAGGGTGCAAGAGTGAATGCTCGTGGAGGAAAAAAAATCTTTCCAGAAGAAGTAATGGACATTGCCCTCTCTTCGGAGATCTCAGGGAGGAACAGTTTGAAAGAGGAAGGGAGAGAATCCGATCCATAGCCTCTTTATTATTAGAATCATTTCCACTCCACCGAAAAAAGGAGTTGGAGATTGGTTCTTTCAGAGATCCTTGGCCTGGAGCAGGAAAGGATTCAGAGGGCTAGCGGTGGAGAGGCTTTATCTGCTCTAGTTCAGGGGTCTCCAATCTTGGTAACTTTAAGACTTGTGGACTTCAACTCCCAGAATTCCTCAGCCAGCAAAGCTGGGAGTTGAAGTCCACAAGTCTTAAAGTTACCAAGGTTGGAGACCCCTGCTCTAGTTGACAACTAATGGAAATGAAAGGAGTAATATAGTTCCTTCTTCATAGCTCTCCAGTCTTTTGATGAGAGTGGGGAATAGAAGGGAGATTTTCCTAAAAAGGCAAATGGAAGAGGCCCAGGATTTAAATCTGGCTATTAAAAGGGGCGTAATAGCCCATCAGTTAAAGACCCTGAGCTTGTTAACTGGAAAGCTGACGACCCGGGTTTGAGACCCAAGCACTGCACAAAGGGATGAGCTCCCATGCCTGCCCCAGCTCCTGCCCACCTAGCAATTTGAAAGCAGGCAAATGCAAGTAGATAAATAGGTACCACTTTGGTGGGAAGGTAACAGCATTCTGTGCACCTCGGAGTATGGATATGCTGGCCACATGAACACGAAAGTGTCTTCAGACAACTCCCACTCCCTTGTCTAAGAAGCAGAGATGGGCACTGCCCCCTAGAGTCTGATACAATTGGACAGAGGATACCTTTACCTTTATTAATATATATTACATGGGAAGATATTGTGATGCTGTTACACAAAGAATTCATTAGTTTATATGGCTTTCCAATTTTTAATACACTTACTGGTTGAACCTTCTGTATCAGAATCCTTCAGTACCTGACAGTTTAAATGCCATCTTTGGATGAGAATCAAATTTACGCCTCTGGGTCTTAGTTTTGACAACTATAGGATGCTCATCCAGAAATCTGTTTGCCCATATAAGTTAAATGGACAATTATGAATCTCTTCTACTGCCCCTGATTTCAAATAAACAGTTTCCTAAAGATACTACGATGGTTCAGGAAAAGGCACATGTCTGTTGAGGACTACGAGAATTCAAGACATCTGGAAAGTGCTAAATTTCTGCCACCTGATCTTTATTGTGTGTATAACACACACACACACACACACACACACACACACACACACACACACAGGTAGATTGCAGGAATATTAAGGGAAGAACAATTTAAATGTCTTTGCAATTCCTATTGCTATCAAGTAGGTCTATCAAATAGTAAAAAAAAATCTCAATTAATGCTGAATAAGTCAGAAGTTAATGATTTGAGCACTAAGTTGATGAAATAGCATGCTGACAAGTTTGCAGCTCAAGTTTAAACATGAATGCAGATAAATGAAATCTGAAAGCGAGGGCTGAAAAGCAGGAATGTGCATATAATTGCTACAGTTATAATGTGTCAAAATTTGATGAAAAACTTTGATGAAAATTAGAGAATAAGTCATGCAGACTAGAAGAAAATATGTTGGATGGGATCTTAGTTTAAAGCTTACCCTTTACCTATCCTTTTCACAATTTGTTGAGTAATCACTATTTATTCCATGGAGTCATTTGATTTGCTCAAGTAAATCACTCTTTACTATTACTTTATAGTGTGTTGTGCTTTAATAGGAGAGGTGTGCAAACTTTGAATAGCATTGGTAATCAAATAGCTATTGCTATAGCTGATCAAAGGACAACACATTATTATAAACTATTTGTAGCTGCTCCAACTTTACCCCTTTACTGAGATATGGTGCCTTCATCTTGAAAATATGTATTGCAGCATGTTGGAAGAAACGTTTTCTAGCTCAGCTCCATAGATAGTACATCTGGTCTTATCTCTGGCATGTTGTATATCCAATATATAATTAGAGTATAGGATGGTACACAGAATGTTGACCTGATCCTAGTTTTAGATCTGGGAAATAGCCTAGAAATCAATATCTTCCTGCTAAGCTGTTGGTTTTGTGGTGAATGGCTAGAAGTAAAGGCTGATTAGGTAGAAGAATTTCCATGCAACATGTGTTTTAAGACCCCTTATCAAACTTTGACTTATGTGGTTAAGTTATCTTTACAAAAAAGCACCATTGATTTAATTCCCATGTAGACGTAAATAGTATTGGATATGTTGAGCTAATAAGAGATGGAAGGAAAGAGAAACTAAAAAAAAAATAGCCTAAGAGGGAAAAATAGTTTCCCAGACCCTTTAAAAATGGGATGAAACAGTAGTTCAAAAACATATGAAAACTTTATGACAGATGGTTTCAAGATGGCTTACCAAGATAACAAGAAGAGTAAAAATGTGCTTTCCAAATAATGATAAAATCTTGAAGCTTAAGAATATTATTTAACAAATGACAGCTGAATGTCTGAACCAGTTCCAATTAAAAATACAGCATTTGGGAAGCAGTGAAATTCTTTGAAAGGTCTGTCTATTGAATTAACATCTGCAATAACCATCATATACTAGATGTGTCCTGTTACTTTATGTTGCAGTTATCCAATAGGGCAGTATGCCTCAGCCTTGGCAACTTTAAGAGGCATGGACTTCAACTCCCAGAATTCCCCAGAGCTGACAGGAGAATTCTGGGAGTTAAAGTCCATGCCTCTTAAAGTTGCCACGGTATAGGGTATATACAGGAGTTAAGCAGGAAGATATCTTCTTCTGCAAGAAGAAAAACTCACAAAAATAGAATAAGGACCCAGAAATGCAGTGATTGGTTTCTTTCTTGAAAGTTCATCATAAAAAGACTGGGCAAAAATATTGGTGTAGTGTAATTGAACAAAAGTTCCACAGTACACTCCTTTCCTTTCAGCCAGACTGAAAATTGGATCCAAACATTATACAAAACCAAGTGTTGTGCATATAGTTCTGGTTGGTATATTGGGTAAATTCAGCCATTTGGTTTCTAGTATCATAAGTTAGTACATTGAGTGAACCCAGCCAATTGAGGTTTATTCAGATCAGCACCATTGGACCACCTGTAACAGGGGTGTCAAACTCGATTTCATTGAGGGGTTCTGTTTCACCTCAGGGGCTGGGGTGGGCGTGGCCAGGGTGGGCATGGCCAGCTCAACGTCACTCGTGTTGGAGGTGCTTGTGGTGGCCCAAGTGCTCTGCCAGTGAAAACGGAGCTCAGGAGGGCTGTGCATGACCTCACAAGCTCCATTTTCACTGCCAAAGGCAGTGCAAGCCAGTCCTTCACTGTTTCCAGGTTGGCCCCGTGGACCAGATGTAAGCACCCCATGGGCCGGATCTGGCCCGTAAGTCTTGAGTTTGACACCCCTGATCTGTAACTTAATGTGAATTGATTCATTGGGCTCACTCTTTAAAGCTTATTTTTGGTGCTGGTGCAGGTGGCCCAGGCAGATCCATTCCACAACTGGATTGTGTCGTTTTGGGAGCAGAGTGGATTGCTGTTGGGGCTGGGCTCGCCACGCCTGGGGCCACTGCCAACGTGAGTATCACTACTGCTGGGGCTTTGAGCCATTCCTCATGGGGCTTGGACATCTCTAATACTGTAATAGCTTTTCTGAAATCATGGACACTCACCTGATGAAGGGCTTATAATACATACTGGCTATTTCTTTTTCCTGGAGGGACACTGACAGGTTAAAAACTCTGGCCACTGTAAACTCCAAGTATTCATACAAACAGTACTGTAAGTGGCAAAAATAAACAATGGAATTGACTATTTTTTCCTTTTTTAATCTCAGTATTAAATTTGGTCTATCAGCTTTAATTGTCCAATTAATTTTTAATTAATTTCAATTTTTTAATTCACATATTCTGTGTGTGAGCAATTGTTCTTTAAATGGAATTTGGTGGAAATATCCTATCTAATTTTTTTAAAAAATACAACAAAAACAATTTAGCTCATCTTTTATCTTTCATTTTTCTGTTTATCCTGACAGTGTCCTGTAGTGGTCATTTATTAATAACATTTCTCACTTTTTCATTGTTCTATCAACCCTACAAACTGCCATTCTGAAAAGGTATGTTAGAAGCTACAGAAGTGATAAAGATACAGAAATGCTGGCTATTAATTGAATTAAGACAGCTTGTTAAATCACTATAGGCTTCATACAGCAAATACATATATTAGATATTTATGCTTTTGACAAATTGTTGCAAAGTTAGATCTGTGATCTTCATAGATTCCCCACATTACGAAGCACATGACAGTTATAATCATCTATAGGTAATTTTTTTACTGTCCTAAAAGAAGGCATGGGACTCAATGGCTTCATGATTCTGGAGATAATCTCAGCTCTGGCTGTTCGAGCCCAGGTACTGTGAGAAGGCTGAATTCCTGTCATTTGCCTCAATCCACCTAACACTTCGAAAGTGTGTTCTATGAAAGTAGATAGAAAGGTACCATATCAGTGGGGAGATGAGCTGTGCTTTGACCAGACAGCCAGATTCCTGATGGCTCTGAACCTTCCCAGTTGTGGCCCCCATTTGCAAACCAGCTCCAGGAAGGGATGGGGCCTTGGGTGACGCTGCAGGAAGAACCACCTCACCCCCTCTGGTGCACCTTGGAAAGTGTGCAAGCATGTCCTATAACAGGGCTGTTGACAAGCCAGACTACTACTATGCAATATCATTGTGGTCTCCTAGCTACTGAAACTATTTTTATTTATTTATTTATTTGATTTATATTGCCGCCTATTTGCCCATGGCAATTCAAGGTGGCTTACACAATGTAAAATCATATTTAAAATAAAAAATAAAAAATAAAAACAATAAGAACTAACAAAAAGAATCAAATAAATTAGTAAAGTTCAATAGAACAAAATTTGGGAAAACAAAACAAAAATAAAACCAATTCCCACCTCCCCACACATCGACGACAGCGGGTCAAACTAGCCATTTGATGGGTTCCATCCCTCTCTGGGTTCCCCAGGCCCGCTGGCAAAACCAGATCTTCAGTGCCTTTCAGAATAGTATTAATAAGGGGGGCATTCTAATCTCTGGGGGCATGATGTTCCAGAGAAATGGAGCTACCACAGAGAAGGCCCTTCTTCTAGGTCCCACCAGATGTACCTCCCTCAGGGATGGGACCCGCAGCATTCCCTGCCTACTCACTCTAATGGGTCGGGTAGATGTCACTGGCAAGAGATGTTTCCAACTATGCCACACACTAACAATAATAATAGTAATAGTAATAATAAATAAATTTGTGTCACACTATTATACAAGCAGCTATTTAATATAATACTGAGGGAAAATTGTGGTTTTAAGAAATATACTTTTTAATGAGAGTATAATAATAATAATACCCTCATTAAAAGTATATTTCTTAAAACCACAATTTGTCCTCAGTATTATATTGAATACTGCTTGTATAGTAGAGTGACACATATTTGTTTGTTTGTTTGTTTATACATTTGTTTGCCCATCTCGTCTCAAATGATTCTGGGTGGCTTACATCATAAAAACATTAAAATCACCAGATATAAAATGACAAGGTAGATAAATTAAAATCATTAATACAAGATGGTGAAGGAGAGAGACAGATACACAGGGAGGGAGGGGGGGGAATTTGCTTTTAATTAGTCAACCACTTCCAGTATGAAGCTCTCCCACTGCCATCTTCATGTCTTAAGGCTCTTACAAAAAGTTAGGAGGTGGGACCCAATCTCACTTTGAGGGTACAGTGTTTCAGAGGGCAGGAGTCACAGCAGAGAAGGCTTCTTCCTGATCCCGCCAGCTGAAATTCCTTGACAGATGGTATCCCCAGTAGGCCCCCTCTGCTGGCCTGGGTGGGATGGATGCGAGATGAGATACGTATGTGGCAGAAATTAGCTTTTCTCTTGGCCAAATTAATATATTATTTTGTTACCCAATATTTGGTAGTTGCCTTATCAGAATGTTATTCACCAATTATGAATGTACATAAGTGCAGTCAAGACTTCAGAACTGCATCTCTCATGTTTTTTTTTAAATGAAACAAAATGCATGTAAAATTATCTACTGAAATCAATTTGAATTTTAAATACTTAATCATTGAATGCCTTTTTTTTCTTCTTTCCCCTTTTTGTATTTTTTCCTCTTTTTATTCTTAGTCTCTCCTCCAAATTACTAATTAAGTTAAATGCAAATCCGGTGATGTAAACTTCTTAAAATAAATGAAAAGTTAAATGAAAAAAGAGGAAGAAGAAGCAAAAAGATTCAGAAAAAGCAAAATTAATATTTGCTTATTCTTCCCATACCAATATATATTTATTTGAGAGTATGAGAGGGTGGGATTGCTTGCATTTTGTAAGTGTCTTTGTGTATGATTTCCTAATTGTAGTACTGCTTGAATATTAATTTCTGTAAATTAAAGCTGACTTCTGTTTAGACTTGTTTATAATTGCAGAATAGTGCAACTGATGACAACTTAGTAGAAATAAATGGGAATGCATCTATCTGATCCAGTAGCATTTTCATTGAAACAATTTGTACTTTTAAAAAAAATCCAGCATGAATGAGCCTCATATTTTTCAAGACATACAATATGCATATTGTATTTTATATAGAATATATTATCTATAATAGCTTATTTAGGCTCTGGGAAAACAAACAAAATATTTGATATTAAATATACCTTTTTAGGATGCTGCAATTTAAATGGAAAAAATTGAGTAAGATATATAAAGTGACTTCATAAATAAACGTGATTTCACTGGATCAAGTGCCTACCCCCAAAACACCTGTTTCGTGTGGTCAGACAACTCTTGACTGAGGTATAACCCTCACTTAGCAACTGCCACAGACAGTGACAGTGTGCAATAATGATGATGATAAAAAGGTAATTTTCAGTAGTGCCAATCAATTCTTATATTTATGACCTGCGCAGGTCTGTAAATTAAAGGAAAGCTAAGGTAAGATTTCAAACATAGTAGTTCCTTCACTTAGCAACCATTTCACATAGCAATCAAGTTCAGTCCCAAATGTGATCATTTAAGGGGGACTACTGATATTCATTTGGCACACTGAGGCCTTAAAGAAGATCTTAAAATTCAGAGACGCTGGCTGGTTGGCTGGTTCAGGGGTCAGCTTTGCTGTCTGAAGAATTATGGCAGTTGAAGTTCACAAGTCTTAGAGTTGCCAAGGTTGGAGACCTCTGGGCTGGTTGGCTAGTTAGCTAGCTTGCTTTCTAAGAAGAAGGAAAAGATGGAGAAGGCAGTTCTTCAAGTACAGGCAGTCCTTGACTTACAACCACAATTGAGGCCAACATTTCTGTTGTTAAGTGAGACATTTGTTAAGTGAGTTTTGCCTCATTTTACCACCTTTCTTGCCACAGTTGTAAGTGAATCACTACAGTTGTGCAGTTAATCACACGGTTGTTAAGTGAATCTGGCTTCTCCATTCACTTCGCTTATCAGAAGGTTACAGAAAGTGATCATATGACCCGGGACACTACAACCATTATAAATCTCTAATAAAATCACTGTTAAATCACTAGCATTTTAATATTTTAAAAATTACTCAATATTTCACCATAAATCCAATGTCCCAATTGTTTAAAAATGCCAATAGGACCAATCATTAACCAAATTTAATCAATCCCAGGAATATATCTCCAATCCCCTAAAATTATAAATTTTAATATATTTTTACACATCATTAATAATAATAATAATAATAATAATAATAATAATAATAATAGTTAGATTACCACATCATAGACTCTACCTTCTAACCTTAATTTGCTTATGATTATAGTAAATTATATTATCTATCTATATATGTTCTACTGTTTTTCCAATTTATATTTTCTACTTCTTTTAATTTTTAATACCTTCACCGTATTTAGGGCTATTTTATCTCTATCCATCATCTCTTACTCTTTTTGAGACTTCATCATTTATTGACTTTTTGATCCCTCTTTTATATTTCTCTCTTCGGACCTTATTTTTCTTTCTACCATTTTTATACCAACTAAATATTCCCTCTGGCTTACCCCTTTTCTCCTTCTGCCGCATCATTTGAGCACCCATCCATAGCCCTTTCATTATTTTGGGGAGACTTCCCTCTCCCCCCCCCCCCCCCGGTTTTATTGTAAACTCTTAAAGAATTGTCTATTTGATTCATATTTATTAGTCTTGTCCCTTCAATGTGTTCATCTTCTTGCAATTTGTTTTGTTTTGTCAGTTGCTAAGCATATGAATTTTGATCATGTGACCATGGGGGATGCTACAATGGTCATGTGAAAAACAGTCAAAAGTCACTTTTTTCAGTGCTGTTATAACTTCAAATGGTCACTAAATGAAGTTTTGTAACTCAAGGACTTCCTGTATACATTAAAGTTGTCCAGGGCTTTATAAATTAAGATATGTAGAGAAAAGGCTAGAAGACTGTTTATCTGACACTCTATGTATACAACATGATTAAATTATTTAATCATGTCAACAAACTTGGGAATTCCTTGTGACCAGCTGCAATTTCCAAACCACTTTTAAAAGTAAC